GAGTGGATATTGTCTTTAATAGTTTTGCCCTTTCCATTTCCACTACCACCCTCTCCTACTCTACTCCTCTTCCCCTTTGGGTTCCTGAACAGAGCCTCAGACCTGGATAAGACAATAGCCTTCCACCTTCATGACACTGTTCCAGTCTGCTGATGCATCAGTGCAGTATGCTGTGTCACCCTTTTGCTTAGAAACTATCAATGTGTTCCCACTGCCTTAGTGTCTGACATTCAAGGTTCTCCACAACTAGCCCTTAATTCCCTCTAACCACCTGCCTCTAGTCTCTGGCCAAATCCCTTACTTGAGCCAAATTGGTCCATTCATTTTTCCCAAACATCTGGCCCTCTGCCTTTACCTCCTTTCTCACTTGTTTACAAATCTCACTCCAAGATGTAGCTCAAGTTTCACCTCCTCCACAAAGCTGCCTGTGCCCTCTGCAACCACAAGGACTTTCATAGTTTTTCCCCACTCTGGCTCCTTGAGCTCTGTTAGCACAACTCATTCAACACCTCCCACTCATTCCTTTGTATTGCTGTATATCTTGTTCATTCGTTTAATATTTAACTTAAAAATTTATAACCTGAGAAGTAACATCTGAGCAGGAAAATTATTTTTATAACCAAAGTAATAAATATACAGAGCAACATGTGGGACATTCCCCTCTACTCTTCGCACTGCCATCCCCAAACGTAACCATCCTGAGCTATTTGATGTGCATCCTTCTAGTTCCTTTTCTAAATGTATGTACTGATACATGTTTGGGGAGGGGTTAAAATATAAATGGGCTCATATCACATCTGTTATTCTGCTATTTGCTTTTTTACTTAGGGTATATACATTTGCCTTAGAGATGTTCTACATTAGTATAATTAGATCTCCTTTTAATGGCTTCTCAGTATTTCATAGTATAATTTCTTCAAAATAAAACATACTGTCTAGAATCTATTATTTGGAGGGTATTGTGTAGCTAGTACCTAGCTCCAGAAATGATTGCAACCTTGACCTTGCCATCAGTTAGCTGGCTCTTTGGGGGACATAGGAAGGGAGGAATGGGGCATACACAAATAACTGCAACAAAAGGAAAAATATAATAATGTCCACAAGTATATGCCTGGAGCTCAGAAATAAGGGAAGTCACTCCTAGCTAAGAGAATCGGGACTTCACAGAGGAGATGATATTTGAGCTTAGCCTGGAGGAAACTTGACAGGTAAAAGAAGCCTATGAGTTCAGGCACAGAGATGAAAACACAAGATATAGGTTTTTATGATGCCAGACCACAGTCCATGAGCAGGAAGAGATTTAGCTCAATTCACAAACATTTACTGAGCGTTTATATGTCAGACACTATACTAGCAATGAAGATTTAGAAATGAGAAACATGAGGTTTCTGTCTCTCAAAGGCATTCAGTTTTATAAAAGCCAAGTTTGGAAAAGCGGATTAGGGCTGGAGGACAAGCTTTCAGCTGGGATGTCTGTGAGTTGGAATTTTATTCATGTGAGCAATGTGAAGCCATGGTAGGCTTTTTAGTGGGCAGGTGATGGGACTGAAACTGTAGATAGCAACAGTGTACACAATGGTCCAAAGCAGGGAGAGGCTAGGGATGAGGGGCTTATTTTTTTTTAGACAAAGTCTCTCTCTCTCACCTGGGCTGGAGTACAGCGGTGTGATCATAGCTTACTGCAGCCTCGACCTCCTGGGCTCAAGCAATTCTCCCACATTAGCCTTCTGAGTAGTTAGGATCACAGGTGCATGCCACCACACCCAGCTAATTGTTAAATTATTTGCAGAGATATGGTCTTGCACTATTGCCCAGGCTGGTCTTGAACTCCTGGTCTCAAGCAGTCCTCCTGCCTCAGCCTCCCAAAAATGATGGGATTACAGGGGTGAGTCACCATGCCCGGACTTACTCTTTTCTTAAACAAGATAGACATTAACTATTTCTGCCTTAGTTAAAAGGTGTCTGGGGCCATGCATGGTGGCTCACACCTGTAATCCCAGCACTTTGGGAGGCTGAGGCAGGTGGATCACCTGAGGTCAGGAGTTCAACACCAGCCTGGCCATCATGGTGAAACCCCAACTCTATTAAAAATACAAAATTAGCCTGGTGTGGTAGCACACACCTGTAGTCCCAGCTACTTTGGATGCTTAGACAGGAGAATTGCCTGAACCCAGGAGGCGGAGGCTGCCATGAGCCGAGATCACAGCACTGCACTCCAGCCTGGGCAAGACAGAGTGAGATTCTGTCATAAATAAATAAACAAGCAAAAATTAACCAGATATGCTCATTTGAATCCAGGAGGTGGAGGTTGCAGTTAGCCGAGATCACACCATTGCACTCCAGCCTGGGGAACAGAGGGAGACTGTTAAATAAAAAAGAAGAAAAAACGGTGAGCTTGGTCTGGTGGCTGATGCCTGTAATCCCAGCACTTTAGGAAGAAGGCAGATCATTTGAGTCTAGGAGTTAAAGACCAGCCTGGGGAATATGGTGAAACTCCATCTCTACAAAAATACACATATTAGCCAGATATGGTGGCATGCACCTGTGGTCCCAGCTACTCAGGCTGAGGCAGGAGGGATCACTTGAGGCCAGAAGGCGGATGTTGCAGTGAGCCAAGATCATGCCACTACAGTACAGCCTGAATGACAGAGTGAGACCCCCATCTAAAAAAAAAAAAAAAAAAAAAAGTGGCAGCTGGTTTGAAGATAGGCATCTCAATTATTCACAGCCAGTTACAGATTGAACTATTCTTTCCCCCTTCCCACTACTGTACTTGACTAGTCTTTTTTTTCCCCGCCTCACAAAGAATGGGGCTTCAAATACAACTAAAAAATAAAGGTGTCTGGTAGGCCAGGGGCCGTGGCTCACACCTGTAATCCCAACATGTTAGGAGAAAGAGGCAGGTGGATTATGAGGTCAGGAGATCAAGACGATCCTGGCTAACACAGTGAAACCCATCTCTACTAAAAATACAAAAAAAGAAAAGAATTAGCCGGGTGTGGTGGCACACGCCTATAGTTGCAGCAACTCAGGAGGCTGAGGCAGAAGAATCGCTTGAACCCAGGAGGTGGAGGCTGTGTTGAGCCGAGATCGTGCCACTGCACTCCAGACTGGGCAACAGAGCCAGACTCCATCATAGGTAGGTAGGTAGGTAGGTAGGTAGGTAGATAGATAGATAGAGTCTGGTGGAAGGCAATCCAGAGCTGGCATGGTGGCTCTCCAGTTAGCAAGGACTTAGGCTTCATGCTTCACCATCCTAGCATGCAGCCTCCATCCTCTTGGTCATCTCATGGTCTAATATGCCTTCTAGAACTTAATTCATCTCATCTACATTCCAGATAGCAGACAGAAGGAAGGAAAGGTGATTGGGGAGAGGGAGAGGAGCACAGAAGGACCCTTTCTAGCTAAGTTAACTCTTTAAAGGGCCTTCTTGGAAGTCAAAGAAATACTTGGAACGCTTCTGTTTATGTTCTCTTGGCCAGAACTTAGTCAGTTGGCCATATCCAGCTTTAAGGGAGACTTGGATCTGTAGTTTTGTGAGTTTTTTTGTTTAACTTAAACTTGATACGTAATTCAAAAACAGTGAAATGCACAGATCATAAGTATACAGTTTGGTAAGTTCTGCCAAATGCATACAACCTTGTAACCTACATCCCTCTCAACATGTAGAACATTTCATCACCCCTAAAAATTCCCTCCTGCTGAGGGGACTTTAAAAAAAAAATACACAAGATAATGAAGGCTTCTTATCCTGAGGTGGGAGGGTTATAGATACAGGAATGCAAGGGAAGAGCTGGAGAGACTGGAAGGAGAACCCAAAGTAGACCCATTGGCTGTGGGCGATGAGAGAAGAATGCATGCTGGTAGCAGAGCCACTAACAGAAACAGGAGATAGGGAGGAAGTCTAGGTTGTTACAGATGGAATGGAAGGAAAAGGAATAATGAGTACAGTTAAGACCATTGGCCGGGTGCGGTGGCTTAACGCCTGCAGTCCCAACACCTTGGGAGGCCGAGGCAGGTGGATCATGAGGTCAGTTTGAGAGCAGCCTGGCCAATGTGGCGAAACCCTGTCCCTACTAAAAATACAAAAATCAGCCTGTGTGATGGCAGGTGCCTGTAATCCCAGCTACCCAGGAGGCTGAGGCAGGAGAATCACTTGAACCCAGGAGGCGTAGGTTGCAGTGAGCCGAGATTGTGCCATTGCACTCCAGCCTGGGCAACAAGAGCAAGACTGTCTCACACACACACAAAAAAAGACTATTTTAAAAAGTGAAGTCTGGCTGGGCGCGGTGTCTCACTCCTGTTATCCCAGCACTTTGGGAGGCCGAGGCGGGCGGATCACCTGAGATCAGGAGTTTGAGACCAGCCTGGCCAACATGGTGAAACCCCATCTCTACTAAAAATACAAAAATTAGCCGGGCTTGGTGGTGGACACCTGTAATCACAGCTACTTGGGAGGCTGAGTCAGGAGAATCGCTTAAACCCAGGAGGCAAGGGTAGCAGTCAGTGGAGATTACACCACTACACTCCAGCCTGGGCAACAGAGCAAGACTCTGTCTTAAAAAAAAAGTGAAGTATTTACACAAACATAAAGGGGTTACATGTGCTGTCCTTTTGAAAAGTTCCTTGATGAAAGGAGAAAGGAAATGGTAGCAACAGAGGAAAATATCAAGGATTTACCCAGTTCTTACAGGAAAACAGCCTTTTGCTCTTTTCAGCTAGCTTTTTTGTCGTTTGTTTGTTTTTTTGAGTTGGAGTTTCGCTGTTGTTACCCAGGCTGGAGTGCAATGGCGCGGTCTCGGCTCACTGCAACCTCTGCCTCCTGGGTTCAGGCAATTCTGCCTCAGCCTTCTGAGTAGCTGGGATTACAGGCACGCCACCATGCCCAGCTGATTTTTTTTTTTTTTTTTTTTTTTTTTTTTTTTTGTATTTTTAGTAAAGATGGGGTTTCACCATGTTGACCAGGATGGTCTCGATCTCTTGACCTCTTGATCCACCCGCCTTGGCCTCCCAAAGTGCTGGGATTACAGGCGTGAGCCACCACTCCTGGCTCAGCTAGCTTTTCAAAGGACAGGGATAGGACAGCTCCCTGCCCTCTTTTGGATATTTGGATCTGTAACCTCCAGAAATTCAAGCTGAAGTAGTTGGAGGTGGGAGAGGAATGAGTAATGCCTCCCTTTGACAACTGCCTGGGTTGGGTCTGCCAGCCAGAAACTGCCAGGATAGCAGCAAGGAGACATAGAGGAAAGAGCAGACAGCAACCATGTTGGACTCAGGCAGTCATGGGTTTGAATCCTATCTCTGTCACCACCTAGCCTGATGACATTGGGCACATTATCCTGAGCACCCTGTGCCTTATCTGTAAAATGGAAACAATTATGCCGACTTTTCAGGGTGGTTTTAAGGATTAGAGACTAGCTCCTGACACAGTAGGTAATCGTAAATTGGTACTATTATGTGGCCCAACCCCTCGTTATGGGACAGAACGTCTAACGGATGGGTCAGAACCTGCGCCCTCCGGATCTTAGAGGATACAGAGGGCTCCCGCGGCCTCCTCCCTCACGGAGGTGGGGACAAGGTGGAGGAAGGGCTGCAGGAGGAGGAGCTCAAGCATCACGACCCGCCCTGTCCCGTCCAGTCTGGCCTGGGCGCCGCGGGAACGCTGTCCTAGCCGCCGCCACCCAAACAGCCTGTCCTGGTGCCCCGGCTCCCTGCCCGGAGCCCAGTCATGACCCTGCGCCCGTCACTCCTCCCTCTCCATATGCTGCTGCTGCTGCTGCTCAGTGCGGCGGTGTGCGGGACTGAGACTGGGTTCGAAACCGAAAGCCCCGTCCGGACCCTCCAAGTGGAGACCCTGGTGAGGAGATAGTCCCGGCCCTCAGCCCCGGTGGGCCGAGACTTGTTGGGTAATACTGGGGTCTCAACGAACCTGGGAGCCGGGAAGAGAGGAAGTGCGGGAACTGAGTTGGGAGTGGTGCCGGGTCTAGGGGCGAGAACGGGATCTTTGGAGGAGCATCCGTGACCCCTGTAGTCCAATCGTAGGTCGAGCCCCCCGAACCATGTGCGGAGCCAGCTGCTTTTGGAGACACGCTTCACATACACTACACGGTGAGGTGTCTCGGGGGTCGGGGCGAGGCCTGGGAGGGGGCGGCGCCCTGCTGAAACACGTCAGTTTTGGCTTGGACACGTGGCAAGAGGCTCGGGAGAAGAAACTCGGGGCTCTGGGGTCGTCGAGCACGTGGCGAGGGGAGAGGCGTTGCTCTTCCGTACCCCTCTTTCCCCTGGTTTTTTTTTGTTTTTTTTTTTTGCCAGTTCCTACCTGGCACTGAGAAGTGCAGGGTGGAGAGATCTCCGAGAAGCGCCAGCCCTCTGGGGCTTCCTGTTCCTTGCTGCCGTTAAGGGGAACGCTAGGCTGCCTGTCTAAGGGGGCTGCCGCCGCCCAGCGGTCCAGGTGTGTGTTGCGCGCCTGCTGGGAGGGAGGTGCTTGGTGTATGCTCTTGATACTCTCTCCCCCCAGGGCAGCTTGGTAGATGGACGTATTATTGACACCTCCCTGACCAGAGACCCTCTGGTTATAGAACTTGGCCAAAAGCAGGTGATTCCAGGTATGTGACCTGTGCCTCCCATTTCACCTCCTCAACACAAGCCCTTTCTTAGCCTCTTCAGCCTCAAAGCTGCCCTGGAAATCCCCCCTGGAATGAGTGTGACCCTAGGGCTCTACCACTTACCTCCTGAAGTTCAAACCTCACTTCAAATACTCCACTTGTTCCATACCCCATTGGAAGCTAGGGATTTAAGAAGTAGGGGAAAGGTCAATTGAGGATGGAGAAGACTTTGATCTTTATGTCATGGGATTTGGGGAAGGTGAATAGCTTCCAGTTCAGTTGTGTCTTCTTCCTCAAGGTCTGGAGCAGAGTCTTCTAGACATGTGTGTGGGGTGAGTATTTGCGCAAGGGTGGGCCTGGGTACCCCCTTTGCATGGGTAGAGGCTTTCTCTGCCATCCTTGCTCCTTAAGAAGCAGGAGAATGTGGGATAAAGGACCCTGCTTCCCACTGGACAGGTCTAGGTCAGTGGGACCCAAGGGCATCCAAAGCCTCTGTGCCTCTTGCACTGTTGCTTTTGTTGGAGGAGCTGAGGTACGTGGGGAGATGGACACCTTTGCTGGCCAGCCTGTCAGGTCGAAAAGTGTGTGTTCTGGGTGTGAAGATCCAGGGAGTTTTGCTGGAGGAGCTTCAGCTGAACTGAGGCTACTGGCCCACCCTTCCTGCCTCTGGCTGTGACTGACATTCCTTCCCTCAGAGAGAAGCGAAGGGCAATCATTCCTTCTCACTTGGCCTATGGAAAACGGGGATTTCCACCATCTGTCCCAGGTAATCTGACTAGGCCTCTGTCTCAGGTCATCAAAATACCCAGTCCCTAAGAGCTCTAAGGAGCTACATACTTTGAAGCTTGAGAAGGCCCAGACCAAGTTTGTTTAGACTGATAGGAATGGCTGGGGCCTTCATCTGCAGGGCCACTTCTTTTCCTCCTCATATCACCAACGGGGTCTAAAGACAACCTGATGAGGCCACCTGGTGTGGCCTCCAGCAGCCAGTAACTTGTTAGGGAAGAGAACTATTTGGGCCACATGGGTCTGCTGCCTGTGCCACTATGTTTCCCAGAACACTGGACTTCTTTCCTGCCCTTTTCCTACAACTCTATGCTGTGTCACCTGTGCAGCAACCCCCCTCCTTCCTTTCAGCCTCCATCAGGGAAGAGATAGTAAAAATAATCACAGTCGGGTGGCTCACGCCTATAATCCCAGTACTTTGGGAGGCCGAGGCGGGTGGATCACGAGGTCAAGAGATAAGACCATCCTTGTCAACAAGGTGAAACCCCGTCTCTACTAAAAATGCAAAAATTAGCTGGGCATGGTGGCGCCGCCTGTAGTCCCAGCTACTCAGGGCAGGAGAATTGCTTGAACTCAGGAGGCGGAGGTTGCAGTGAGCCGAGATCACACCATTGCACTCCAGCCTGGGTAACGAGCGAAACTCCATCTCAAAAAATAATAATAATAATAATCACAGTCAAGTAATTCAAAACAAAACAAAAAGCAACTTTTTTCTTTTTTTTAAGACAGGGTTTCACCATGTTGATCAGGCTGGTCTTGAACTCCCAACCTCAGGTAATCCGCCCGCCTTGGCCTCCAAAGTGCTTGGATTACAGGCCTGAGCCACCATGCCCGGCCAACTTTTTTCTTTTTTTTTAATTTTTTTTTGAGACAGAGTCTCGCTCTGTCGACAGGCTGGAGTGCAGTGGTGCCATCTTGGCTCATTGCAACCTCTGACTCCCTGGTTCAAGCGATTCTCTTGTCCCTCAGCCTCTCAAGTAGCTGGGATTACAGGCACGTGTGACCATGCCCAGCTAATTTTTGTATTTTAGTAGTCGGGGTTTCACCATGTTAGCCTGGATGGTCTTAATCTCCTGACCTCATGATCCGCTCTGCCTTGGCCTCCCAAAGTGCTGGCATGAGCCACCTCACCTGGCCACAAAAAGCAACTTTTTTAAAGCCAAGTCTCCCTCTTAATTGTAAAAGCCATCATAGGTCACTGCCGATGTTTATTTTTGAACAGTTGAGATGGACAGATTTCCCAAGATGCATATCTATCTTTTGCTTTCAGTTCTAACAAATGTTCTATTAGCTAAAATGTTTTGTACTCCACAGAGTATTGAGATCATAATTCTTGGCTGGGCATGGTGGCTCACGCCTGTAATACCAGCATTTTGGGAGGCTGAGGTGTGTGGATTATGTCGTCAAGAGTTTGAGACCAGCCTGGCCAACAGAGTGAAACCCTATCTCTAAAAAGAGAAAAAAAAAAAAAGAGAGAGAGAGAGATCGTAATCCTTTTTTTTTTTTTTGATGTGTGTGATGGATTATAGAAATCGTAATTCTTAACCTAGTTCCAGCTTAGGGGAAGGCCTGGAAGGAGGGTAGAGGGACCAAGGAGAAACTTTTATCTAAAGCCCTATTACCTCCCCATCCCCAGTGCTGCCTATTTGCACGTCTTTTGCCCACTCAGTTCTGTTCCACCAGCCCCTTTACTTTTTTTTTTTGAGACTGAGTCCCACTCTATTGCCAGGCTGGAGTGCAGTGGCGTGATCCTGGCTCATTGCAACTTCTGTTTTCCAGTTTCAAGCAATTCTCCCGCCTCAGCCTCCTGACTAGCTGGGACTACAGGCATGCACCACCATGCCTGGCTAATTTTTTTTCGTATTTTTGGTAGAGACAGTGTTTCAGCATGTTGGCTAGGATGGTCTCGATCTCTTGACCTTGTGATCCACCTGCCTCAGCCTCCCAAAGTGCTGGGATTACAGGCATGAGCCACCACACCCAGCCCCCTTTACTTCTTAAGCAGCATCCTCATCCTTCTTCCTCTTCGCCTCTTATGTTGAAACTCCTATTTCCTCATAGTGTGCTCATTGGTTGGTTGATTTTTAAGTCTAGTTTCAATCCATTTAATTACAGCCCTGTAAAGATTCTATCTGTGTGGTTTTTTGGAAATAGGATAAGTTAGTAGTTAGAGAGTTCTCCCACTTACAAATGGAAAAGAGCCTGTATATTTCATATTCACAGAAAGTTTTCCTGCATTCAAAGACTTGTCACTGGACCCAAGCCACATGTGTAGTTGGAGTCAACATGAGTATCACCAGACTGTGCTCATAATCCTTCTCTACCCTTGTCTAAGGAAATTCAACCCCACATTTAAATCTTGCCAGCTTGATAGTTGTTGGCTTTGCTGTGGCCTACCCTCCCTATTTTCATTCAGATTCAAGCCTTGGACAAAATGCATTGAGAGTCTAACCCTCTCCATCCCTCTGCCTCTCCAGCGGATGCAGTGGTGCAGTATGACGTGGAGCTGATAGCATTGATCCGAGCCAACTACTGGCTAAAGCTGGTGAAGGGCATTTTGCCTCTAGTAGGGATGGCCATGGTGCCAGCCCTCCTGGGCCTCATTGGGTATCACCTATACAGAAAGGCCAACAGACCAAAAGTCTCCAAAAAGAAGCTCAAGGAAGAGAAACGAAACAAGAGCAAAAAGAAATAATAAATAATACATTTTAAAAAAACTTCTTTGTATTCTTCATCTGATACTTTCTGAGACTGCCTTTGAAAGTGGGAATGAGGTAAAGGGCTGAGGAAAAAGGCATTCTGAGTTGCATCTTGCCTGGCCTGGGGGTGGTGGTTGTAGGCCCTGGATCACCTCTTCCCCTGGCCTCCCCTTGCTGTCCTGACTTTAAGGACCTGGTCTTGAGTCTTTCCATAGGATCTCTAGGTCCTTAAGGTATGGGTTTTGGCTCCCATGGTGCCCTGATTCTGAGGAACGATGCTTAATTGAGCAGTGAGCCTCCTGGTAGTTGCCTAGCTGTTCTCTCTATTCCCTGGGACCACAGTGTTCCTAGTGTCCTCAGAGTGGACTGCTCTGTCCAATATGCCAAAGATAGAAGGAGCTCATAAACTCCATGGAAATTTTTAATAGCAATGTCCCTACATCTCTCTCTCAAAAAAAAAAAAAAATAGGAATTGAAAAGAGATTTTTTTTTTCCCCCTTAGATCACAGGGTGTGGAAGATCACGTGGGCTGCTTCAGTGATATTTTAAGTGGTTGGATGTTGTTTATCACCTGGATGCGCTATAGGTGTAGATGAGGGCTGGGGTAAGTTGCTTCGATGGTTGACTATGAAGAGTGGGTTGAGTTGGCTCAGCACTACGTCACTCACTGAGATGCCATCCAAGTACTGCTTCAGCATTCCCTGCAGCTTCCCATTGATATCTAGCAGCTGGGCTCGTCTGTGTTGGAGGCTCAGTTGCTCCAGTTTCACTTTGTTGTACCTTTTCCAGAAATTCTCCATCCCTATGTAATCCACGATCAACTGGAGTGGAGTTATAGGGAGAAAGTGTACATCAAGACCCATTAGCAAATGCTGCCCAATGCCCACCATCCCCAGCCTTTACCTTGGTGAGCTCCTCAGTAAGCTCTTCTAAATTCTCCTCAATCCCCTCCTGCTCCTTAGGAGTCAATACTGATGAATAAAAAGGCAGTACTTTTTCTTCCTCAGTTTCAAATTTCCTACATATTTCAGCAAGTTTAAGGATCTTTTCACCCTATTTGAAGCAGGAAGAGAGTTTATATTAAGAAGTAGGTTAGAGAGGGAAGCTAGTGGAATTGGTTCCCCTGTTTGAACCCAGGAAAGTTACTCATCCAAGTGGGAGACAACAGCAATAAATACATATAGCAAATAGAGGTTACCACGTAACACACTATTCCAAGTATTTTTTTAATCATTCATTATTAATTTTTCTTTCTTTCTTTTTTTTTTTTTGGTCTCCCTATGTTGCCCAGGCTGGTCTCACTCTTGGGCTTGAGCAGTCCTCCCACCTTGGCCTCCCAAAGTGATGAGATTACAGCCATGAGCCACCACGCCTGGCCAATTCATTTCCATTTATAATGTAGACCGAGCACAGTGGCTCATGCCTGTAGTCCCAGCACTTTGGGAAGCCGAGATGGGTGGATCACTGAGGTCAGGAGTTTGAGACCATCCTAGCCAACATGGTGAAACCCTGGCTCCACTAAAAATAAAAATTAGCTGAGAGTGATAGTGCGCATCTGTAAAACAATCTACTCAGGAGGCTGAGGCAGGAGAATCACTTGAACTCGGGAGGCGGAGGTTGCAGTTAGCCGAGATCATGCCACTGCACTCCAGCCAGGGCAAAAGAGTGAGACTTTGTCTCAAAAAAAAAAAAAAATAGTAATTAACTGGGTGTAGTGGCACGCGCCTGTAATCCAGCTACTCTGGAGGCTGAGGCAGGAGAATCGCTTGAACCTGGGAGGTGGAGGTTGCTATGAGCTGAGATCGAACCATTGCACTCCAGCCCGCACAACAAGAATAAAACACTTTCGAAAAAAAACTAATTAGTTAAATACAATGTAAGAGGGAGCCTGACACAGTGGCTCATGCCTGCAATTCCAGCATTTTGGAAGGCCAGGGTGGGAGGCTGTGAGTTTGATACTAGCCTGGGCAACATGGTGAAACCCCCTCTCTACAAAAAATACAAAATTAGCCGTGAGTCAGGGAGGTGAGGTGGGAGGAATGCTTAAGCTCAGGAGGCAGAGGTTGCAGTGAGCCAAGATGGCACCACCACTCCATTCTGGGAGACAGAGTGAGACCTGTCTCACCAAAAAAAAAAAAAAAAAAAAAATACCAAGGGGCTCAGCAGAGTGGCTCACACCTCTAATCCCAGCACTTTGACAAGGCAAGAGGACTGCTAGATGCCAGGAGTCCTGGCATCCTGGGCAACATAGTGAGACCCTGTTTCTAGAAATATATACATTAATTAATTTAAGAGGTGAGGAAACATGGAATAAAAAAGGTATTCCACGTGTCCATTCAGGCAGGAAGCAGGAAGAAGCTTCCTCTATCCTTTCCAAATCCCTTTCACCTTGCAGGAGCCAGGTTCCTTGACTTTGTTCTGACAGCCCTCTCCCGTGTTACCTTATCAACAATCTTTCTCAGGGCCTTTAGGGTAGCATTACTTTCCAGGGTGAGTTTGACTAAGTTCTTCTGAGATGCTGCTCGCGCCTGAGTCCTTTGGGACTTAAGTTTTCGCAGTTGTATGAGCACCAATTCCTTGTCATTACGGATATACCGGTTCTCATTTTCACTCTCACGGCTATGTATCATGATCTTGCCTTTTGAAATAGTTATGGCATCCTAGAGGAACAAAGTAAATTAGAGGAAACACTTGACCAATTGAGGGTCTTCAGTGAGACAGGTAAAAGGGATGCTTGGGGACTGAAATCAGAGCATGTCATGTTTTCCCAACCAGTTATCAGTGTTGAGGCATAGAGGAAAGAAGGGGAAGAGGAACAGAGGATTAACAGAGCAGTTCAAGCAGTATTTCCAGGTGGCTACACTAACCTGTAGCTTCTGTATTTTTTTCATCTGTACTTCAATCTCTTTGGAGCTCTTCTCATCCTTCACCTGCAGGGTCTCAAAGGCAACCTTTAGATCCTCTGTGACATCAGTGTAATTCTTGAGTACATCCTGGAACTTTCTCCACAGATCTTCTACTGTGTTCTCCAGTTGCAGTCTTAGAAAGTGCTTCTCTTCTAAATTCTAGGAAGTGACCCCAAAATAGCAAATGTTTGGAATTACCCTATTAGTGCCCTTTCACTTCCACCAGCAACCTCACCCTCTTGAACTGTTTGTAGCATAGTTTAGTACAGAGGTCGCCAATGAAAATGCCTACAAAAGACCAGGCAGCTGACATAAATAAGTTTTGTGGGCTGGGTGGAGCCTGTGGTGAACTGGAGAGGAAGTACTCCATCTGGGAGGAGGAGGGGCAGTCACTGAGCTCTACGTGAGCCTTGCCATTTGGAAATGTGGCCCAGTGTTGCCAGATCTTTAAATTTTTCAAGGGAAGTTGAAAATTTAGATGTTTTTTTGAAATCTCCAATTTTTAAGTGTAGGATGCTTATTCAAAAACTTTTATAAAACACTGTGGGGTAAGTAAAAACAAAAACCCCCAATACCTAAACCTAGGTCTGGCTAGTGGACCTCCAGGACAGTGGAAAGGACTTTGGGTCAAGGGGCAGGAAACCTAGATTCTCCTTCTGGTTCTACCACAAACCAGCAGCATGACTTTGGCAGGTCATTTTACTTATCTTGACCTTACTTTCTTCATCGGCAAATCACAGGGGTGAAGCCAGATGATCTCCTTGGTGCTTTTTAGCTCTAAAATGCATTCCCTTGACATTTTAGAATGGTCTTCCCTCCTAACCAATTTTCACAAACTTACAAAAAGTAGTAGGGATACCTACAGTGGGAATAGATGTTTTACTGTGTTGGCTAAAGGTGCCTCTTCTACCTCTAGTAGCCTTGAGCATTTATTGTTCCTGTTTTTTTTTTTTTTTTTTTTTGAGACAGGGTCTTGCTCTGTCACTGAGGCTGGAGAGCAGTGTTGCTATCACAGTTCACTGCAGCCTCAATCTTCTGAGCTCAAGCAGTCCTCCTACCTCAGTCTCCCAAGTAGCTGGGACCACAGGTACACACTACCATGCCTGGCTATTTTCTTTTTTGTCTTTTGGTATAAATGGGGTCTCCCTATGTTGCCCAGCCTGGTCTTGAACTCCCAGTCTCAAGTGATCCTCCTGCCTCAGCCTCCCAAGGTGCTGGGATTACAGGTGTGAGGCCACTGTGCCCAGCCTCCTTGAGCATTTTTCTATCACCACCTTCCCTTTCTTGCCCATCTGCTCTCCCTCTGTACCATGTTTTTGAGATCATTCCACATGCTCTGGAACTCCAGCTTGCTTTCATACTCAGAATCCAAATAGTTCTGCTCCATGGCCATGAAGATATCTTGTAGGTAGCGAATCTCTTTCTCATGTTGGTCAATAATCGTCTTCCTATAAGAGACAAGACACTGTTCCTGCTCTAAGGGATACAGGATATGGACCAATAATGACAATTCAAAGCAGTATGTAATAAATCCATGTGAATGGTACAAACTCTTAGGTACTGATGGAGAACAGAGAGAGGGAAGGCTCTATTCTTTTCAGGGCTAGAAAGAATAAGGCTATTTTATTTTGATTTCTGAATGGGTAATACATTCATGTGATACAAAAAAAGTCCAAAAGATTACATTGAGAAGTTTCCTTCCCATCCCTGTTCCCTGTCAAATGGATAGGATTTTGATAGTTGAAAGTGGGTAGTTGGTAAAAGGAATTTGAGGAGTTACATTTAAAAAGAAGAAAAAAACAGTTATTAAAAAAAAGTAAAGCAATAAATTAGCCAAGCATGGTGGTATGCACTTATAGTCCCAGCTACTGGGGAGGCTGAGGCAGGAGAATCACTTGAACCCGGGAGGCAGAGGTTGCAGTGAGCTGAGATCGCACCACTGCACTCCAGCCTAGACTACAGAGCGACTCCATCTCGAAAAAACAAACAAACCAAAAAAATAAAACAATAAAGAAAAAAATAGTGAAAGAAAAAAAAAAAAAGAAGAAAGTGGGTGGTGAAGGCACACAAACAGGGGCCTGAGGTGGGTAAAGGTTTGTTTAAAAGGAACCA